TGCCCCACACACCAAACCCCACGCCCGGCGGTCCCTGCCGCCCCCGGTTCACACCTAGAAACAGGCCCCGGCCATCTTCGCCGGGCTCCTCTCGCGAGAGCTCCCACGGGAGTGAAGGGAGGAAACCCCGCGATAAGTGAGCTGCCGGGCTCCCCGCCGTCGCACCTCCGAGTCCCTGACAGTAACCCAGCGTCGGCCCCTCCCAGACAACGTGCTTCCGCCCGGAGACGGAGCCCGCGGTCTGGGAGACGTTGAAAGGACGGAGGCCCAACCCTGCCGGCGCCTGCGTTTCCTGCCCAGGGCCAGAAGCGTAGCCTGTGTTGGAGCTGGTCTGTGCGGGTTTGAGACGATGACTTAACCCTTCGGCTTCTAGGCCTCACTGTGCCGAACGATGCCATGGCATGCAGGATGTGATGTAACGGTTAAACAAGGGACACTCACTCAACAAATATTCCTAAGCATCTACTTCATACATACGGATTTATTAAAATGCCACCCTGATTCCAAGGGGTCAACAGAGGAGGATGAAGTGGATGCGGGCAGCTTGGTAACAGAAATGGGGAAGTGGAAGGGAGAGGAATACGGGTGGAGGGGTGGGGAGGGAGCAGTTTCGTGTTGGGGTGTCAACATCACTCTGGAAGGGTTAATAAATAAGTTAACTTGGTAAAACAATGGGCTGTCCAGGAGACGAGGGGTGGAGAAGGCACTCAAATATTGTAGCTGAATGAATGAATTTTGAGAAATGTCAGACTTAGGTACAGGTAAGAGGAAGACAAATGTGTAGCTGGAATATCTCTGGGCCACTTCGTTGCCAGTCTCAATTCTGAATTACATTCTGAAGGAACATAAATCTGATCTCCATAAAGCCTTAATTAAGTAATTAAAGCTGCAAGGTATGGTGGAGAGAGGAGGGGAGTTTAGCAAGGTCTTCACCCAATTATCTCTCATAAATCTCATTTATACGGATACCGGCTTCTCTCAAGTCTTTTATTAAACTTTATCCATTTTAAATAAATAAATAAAAAGCTGTGGGAACTGGCCTTTCATCATCGTCCCCTGTCACTCGTGTCTTCATTTCTATTCTCTTTTCTCCAATCTATTCAAATAATTCTGTCTTTTGTTCTTTCATTCTTTTCCTCCTCTCTTGGTCTCTTGGGGGTGTGGGATTATGTTCCTACATCAAATCAGCCCTGAAATGGACCTCCTTAGAAAACAGGAATGATTGAACACATATACAATGTTTTGTACTTCCACAATGTCTAATATTTATTGTTAACCCTGTCAATTTAAGGATTAAGAGTGTAGGGGTGGGGTCTAGGCTGTCAATCTGGAGATAGCCAATGAGACTTCTGTGGGCATGGCCTTCTCCTGAGAATTCTGGGAAATCTGGTACTTCCTCCTTGGAGGCAGAAGACACTTTTTCTCTCTGGGAGACATTGCAGAAGACAAGCCACATGGATGCAACCAGACCTCGGACGCCAGAGAAGCCACAAAGAGACCCCTGCCATCACTGAGATGCTTACAACGCCACTGGACCCAAAGACTTTCTACTCACTGGCTTGTGATCGTCCTGCATTTGGCTTCATTGCATGTTTTTTGGAGTCTGAAGAGGACTTTATAGACTGGGTCAGACATATGGGCTAATATCAGACTTATGGCCTTGGACTGGACTGGGTTGGGATGTTTTCTCAATGTTCAGTTGCTCTTGTATATAAATCTCTTTTATATACATATGTGTGTGTCCATAGATTTGTTTCTCTAGTCTACCAAGACTAATACAAACCCTAAGCCAAGCAGTATATTTGGCACATTAACTACTGTTCCAGGAATGATATATAGATGTAGACGTATATAGCATGGCATTTGAGAATCATTAGAAACAGGAAAAATGGTAGCAAATGAGACAAAATGGAAAGCAACGGCTAGATCTTAAAGAGCAATTATAAGAAACATGTACCATATATGATAAGAGAACTTTGCCACAGAATCAAAACCCAGGAAAGAAGGACTTACATTTAATCACCATGTGGAGCAATCAACTCATATCCCAAATATATGAGATTTTGCCAAACTATCCAGCTTCCCCCTTACCACATTGCCAAATTGAGTATTAATTCTAATTACTGCAACCTCTTAGCAGCTGCCTATCCACCCTCTCTCCTACCTCACAACTTTGCACACACTGATCCATATGTCCACAACTAATTTCCACTTCATCCATCTAGACAATACCCCTTCAATCTGTCACAGGTCGGTTCCAACTTTATTTCTTAGAACAAGCATTTTTTACTTGGCATAGAACTCAGAGGTCCAAGAAATGGACCTCTAATAAAAAAAAACCTCTAAATAAAATTTAGTACATCCTTCCATCACAGGCCACAAACCATGATAGTATTAGCAGTACCTGTGACTTTACAACCAAAAGAAACCACAAGTTACATTAGAGTTACTGCGGTTAACTCAAAATATTATTCACATCCATCATTACAACATTATGTTAGGAATTCTGCCCACTGTTAGCTCTTGTCTTTAAAATGTTTGCCAAAAAAGCGCTACACGTACTACTAATCACAAATGTTTTTTTAAATATTTGGATAATAGTTCCATACAGTATGGTTCTTTTGTATTTTATTATATAACTGAAAATAGGTAGGTCAAGACATCAAAAACATTCAAAAAATTTCTCAACAGGGGTCTTTAATTAAACCTGCCCCTCTCTTCTTACCTAGTCAAGACCCACCCACCCAGCTGGATTAGGGATTTGGTGGTGCTACGGGGTAAGCATGCACAGGTAATTGCTAATACAGTCGGAAGCTCAAACCCATGAATCATTTGCTGGAGAAAGGTAAGGTTATCTACTGCAGAGATTTACAGGTGGGAAATCTATACTCCACAGAGTAGGATTTGGAGGAGTGACCGGCTTCTTTAAGGATTTCTCATAGCTTTTGCATGTCTTCCTGACGTTGCCTCCCTCTTCAGCATCTGGAGACCTCTCGGGCCTGGGACTGTTTCTGCTGTACCCCCAATACCAACCACACTGTCTTGCAGACAGTGAGTGAATTAGGACATAAAACCACAAAGTACCCGCAATGTACCAAGACAACTTAGTGATGAAATTGGAAATTTAGTGATGAAAAGCTAAATTAATAACCCTAATCTGACCACAACAAAATTCTCATTCTCTTGAATTCTAATGTGAAGCGCAAGGGTAGATCTATTATTGAGGTTGGTTGGTTGGTTTATCTTCATTTAGATGTGACAGGGAATATTGCTGAAACTGGCTTAAAGGAGTTTATTGACTTACATAACGGAAAGGTGCAGATATGAATCTTCACGAATGGCTCCTTCCGGAGTTCATTTCAGTTTCTCCGTGAATCTGTGTGTGCTCCTCGAGCCGGCTTCCATCAAAAACACAAGCTGCTGTCGGAGGTACAGAGACACGTGGGAAACGGGCCACGTGCTTCCTCCTGTGAGTCTGGTGAGATACAGAAGTGAGGAGCTCAGCCTGGATCAAAGGAACAGTCCCCAAGGCTCAGGAGAATGCTGATTGGCTCAGTCTGGATTGCTTGAACAATCCTGTGGAGGAGGTGATTAGCCTGGTCAGTTGTATCCAATCAAGACTCAGCTCTGAGCCAAGGGTGGGGCCAATACCTCCAAACTGCAAAACTACTTCATAATGGCAGTGAGGTAACAGAGATAGATGTTGTAGAGACTCATGCAAGCAGGGTCCGCAAAAATACCACTACACGAAGAGGCTGAAAAAGCAGTGGGGGGCAGGAGGGGAGAGTGAACTTCCCTGTTAATTGTGGATTAAATGGAATGGAGTATGTAGTGATTTTTCATTATCTTTATATCAATATGCAATATTAATAAATTGACAACAGACATACCAGTTTTACCAATATAGCATTTAATCCAACAATAGCTCAGCTATAATATTTACTAGATGATTTTCAATGGTCCTACACATTAACATTTCTTACGTTCCCAACTCGTGTTAGATTTACAAATTTTTTATTTGCCTTTAGTAGCAGAAAGTAGTACCCTGGGACAAATTGGTGTCTTTCAACTTTTACTGATAAGGATTTTGTTGAATTCTGTGTTCACTAACACCAAACACTGACTTGTGGATTAAGCCAGGTTGTCACAAATTGCATTTCTGAATTTCAGAAGAAATTTATCTATCTGCAATTGCCTTAGGCAAAGCATTTAATCCTGTCTATTTCTTCATTTATTGGAAAGAATAGTATTGCAGTATAAAATTAAGTATTAAAACACTGTACAAAATAGTAAAATCTTACTGGTATGCTGTAGAAATATAACAACCAACCCAGCTTCGGCGGTATCAATGAAGGTGTACGATGTATGGACCACATGGGGTAACACTGTTAGGCCGGGTTGACTAGAGAAGCAAACTGAGAGACACTCATGTTTGTATAAGAGAGAGCTTTATATGAAGAATGAATTATGTATCAAGAAAACATCCCAGCCCAGTAAATAAGCCCCATAGTGGTCCATTAAGTCCCTCTTCAGACTCATGAAGCCACAGGCAATCATTCTGAATGCAAAAATATCACAGGATGGTGGGTGCAAAAATCTTGTAGATCCAAGGGCAGTGGACACGTCTCCAGGGCGCTGGCAACAAATAGAGTCAGGCAGCAGGAAAGTGAAGGCAAAGAAAAAAGGGGGAGCTTCCCAGGGTCTTTCATTTTTTTTAAGTCATTTCATTGGGGGCTCATACAACTCTCACCACAATCCATGCATCTATCTATTGTGTCAAGCACATTTGTACATTTATTGCCATCATCATTATCAAAATATTTGCTTGCTACTTGAGCCCTTGGCATCCGCTCATTTCCTCCCTTCCTCATGAACCCTTGACAATTTATCATTT